CTACAAAAATGTACAGTACACAAAGTTAACAGTCTCACACGCAATTTGTAGTGAACTGACTCCCCGAAAACAAATGTTACAAATCCTGTTCTTTTTGTCTTTTTTATTACATTCAAAAAGCTTTACTTCTGATAAAGTAGTCAAAAAAGGTACATAGTGCGAATCCCCTGTACCTACTATGTACAAACTAAATGTGTTCAAACTCTTCCCCGTCCAGCAAGTTTGGAAGATTCAGACCATTACCATATCATATCATAGGAAAGCAAGAGAACAAACAAAAAGGCAAGGAATAGGGAGTAATAGAAAAAAATACAACTCAGATTGTTGCTCTAAGTCTCTATTTCTCTCCTTTGATAAGTGGTAACAACCTTCCAAGAAGTTTAAATTACAAACTACATTCATTTCCTCTTGTTGTAAAACAGTAACATGTATGAAAATACTTTATTTGGTTAATCATAAGGCAATGTAAGATGGTGAATCCCCACAGGCACTAGGCAGTAATACTGGGGCTCTGGTCTGCTACATTCTCACGCACGTGGCTGCCGTGCATTGTATAGAGATATACGTACAAAAAAAATAATAAAATACTTTTTGGTTAATCTATTTACTTGGGATCTTTGAAATCTGATTTCTATGAAAATTTAAGGCTAGTACATGTTTGGACGGTCCTCTGCCAACCACAGTTTATACATTCTACTGACAAACCTAAAGGGTCTGACGATTCTCCAAAATGACAAAAAAAAAAATGAACAAAACACCCTTCTGAAAAGTAAGATCCCAACAAACAGCAAATCACACAAACTGTTTTTAATGAACGTAAACAAGGAAACAAAATGAATGAAATAAATATCACATACAATCTCTTAAATTAAGATTTTTTTTTTTTTTTTACTCATCATTTACAATAAAATAAAGTGAAGTTACAAAAAGAGACCAAACAAAAATATATATTACTGTGAAAAGAACATACACTCCACTTTATGTAGATTAATAATGGCGATCATAATTTAAACATAAGAATATAGATCTATTGCTTCATCATACTCGATAAATACAGTATGGACACAATTAACAATGTAGCCTATACTTTTCACAAGATAAAATAAATAAGTTAAATAGTTCATAGCCAGTTAAGCACTGCTATGTAATCACTCGTATCAGCTAAAAAAAAAAAAAAAAAAAAAAAAGATATATTCAACCATCAGCAGTGATTTCCCAACAAGCCAAATGAGAGCTTCAAACTGCACAAACCAACCAAACCACTGGGTGGCGCCGCGAAACTGGATAAACTTTTGGAATGAATGTACATACTTTGAAAACTAGTATACTTTTCGTCAAGGCATATTCTTGGCAAGGATGAAGGAAAATCTGAAACCGCTCGGTCTTTCACGTTCACAAGTCTTTTGTACAAAAATCTGGAAAGTAGGTGGTCCAAAAAGACCAAGAGAATGCAACAAACTGCACCGGTGGAATGCCTTCAAAGCAGTTCAAACAGACTAATGCCATGTCGAGCGTCTGACAAAAACAAATCCATCTCCCTCGATATTAAAAAGTCTATTGCTCAACTACCTATCTAACGGGAGAGTCCTCCGCTATCGAGTCCACTACAACAACAACAACAAAAAGCGGATTAATCATCGGAAATCGACAGCCTGCTGAAGATTGGCAAACGCCTCCCGCCGTCCAGACTGGGAGACTCAGAGCCGCTGAGACTTCCGGAGGAGCTGAGCGAGCCGCTGGCGTAGCTCTCACGGTCAGAGATGCTGTCAGGCGGGCTGGGGGGCGAGTCGAACACCGGCGACTCTGACAGGCGCTGGAGGGACTGCAAGTGGCCGAGGCCGTCGCCCATGTTGACCTGAAGGTTTCCGTAATAACCGTTGTGCGTGTGCACGGCCAGCGGCGCGAGCAGGGCTTTGAGGTCTTGGCCGGTGAAAGAGAAGGCACTGTTTCCGAGGCAGCGAGCGTCTTCGTAGAAGCTCGCGGCGCAGGAGGAGCCGCTGGAGGGAGGCGGCGTGCGCGACGTGGGGCTCTCGAGAAGGGGCGAGTCGAGTCCGTGGTGGTGGTGGCTGGAGAAACCCGAGAAGCTGAGGCTGTGGTGGAGTTTCGGTCGGTGCTGCTGGTGCTGTCCGTAGCCGCTCACCGGCTCGCACCGAACAGGCTTGGCGGACTCTCCCTGCACGCTGTTGGCGTTGCTCGGCGCCGGTCTGCGCTCGTCGGCGTTGTGGATGAAGTGGCACCGCGGACTGGCGTAGCTCTCACGGTCAGAGATGCTGTCAGGCGGGCTGGGGGGCGAGTCGAACACCGGCGACTCTGACAGGCGCTGGAGGGACTGCAAGTGGCCGAGGCCGTCGCCCATGTTGACCTGAAGGTTTGCGTAATAACCGTTGTGCGTGTGCACGGCCAGCGGCGCGAGCAGGGCTTTGAGGTCTTGGCCGGTGAAAGAGAAGGCACTGTTTCCGAGGCAGCGAGCGTCTTCGTAGAAGCTCGCGGCGCAGGAGGAGCCGCTGGAGGGAGGCGGCGTGCGCGACGTGGGGCTCTCGAGAAGGGGCGAGTCGAGTCCGTGGTGGTGGTGGCTGGAGAAACCCGAGAAGCTGAGGCTGTGGTGGAGTTTCGGTCGGTGCTGCTGGTGCTGTCCGTAGCCGCTCACCGGCTCGCACCGAACAGGCTTGGCGGACTCTCCCTGCACGCTGTTGGCGTTGCTCGGCGCCGGTCTGCGCTCGTCGGCGTTGTGGATGAAGTGGCACCGCGGACCGTACGGGCAGAAGCCGATGGTGTGGAAAGTGCGACAGGGCTCGGTTTTGTACTTCGGGTGGCGAGACAGGCTTCTCAGCTCGTGGTAGCCGTGCGCAAACTGGCACTTCTCGCCGTACTTGCAAGCGCCGTTTTCCTCGAAAGGCCTGCAGAGCTCCGTCTTGTAGCGGGTGGAGTTGATCTGCGAGCCCGGCTTCTGCTGCAGCTGCTGGGCGCTCTCGCTGTAGGCGCGGTCGCGGAACTTGTTCTCCTTGTTCATGATGGCGTTCTCCTTCATGCTGCTGCTGTAGGAGCTGGCGGGGTACTTGTTGCCGTTTGTCATGGACTCCATGTTGCTGGTGGAGTTTCGACGGAAGAATCCTGACGCGTACGAGTTGCAGTTGTTGGTGCTGCTGCTGGAGGTTGTTACCGGGGCCCCGACTGCTTTCTTATCCAGCATGCTGTTAATGTGAATGGCGTTAATGTTGAGGCTCTTCTCCTGCTGTGTAGAGAGGAGAAACAAAGTTACAATCAATGCAATGTAGTTGCAAAACTATGTATGCACTCGATTCGGCCATGCACTAACTTTGTAAAGTCCCAGCAAAGATAAGAAGCAAGCTTGTTTGTTAAATCAGCAAAGTACCTTGTACAGCATGTCGATGTCGTAGAAAGCGGACAGGATGGTCGCAGACATTTCTGTTTCTTCAGAAGAAGACAGTCGCAGATGATCTCTCATTTGAGGACCGACTTGGAGCCTTTGGATGCGAAGGCGTTTAGTTTGCCACTGGCTTAGACTTTGTGCAAAAGATACGGAACAGAAAAGGCTAGTCTCAGACGTGCTCTGAAACTCAGAGAAGGAAGGCTGAGTTCCTCGTTGCGTGCTTGTGTTGTTAGTCTTCTCCCACCGCGCAGAGCCGAGCCAGAACAGTAAAGAGTCTGCTTTACTCTCCCGCACATATAAGCTTGAGGACAGCGCGTAAAGAGGAGGAGGATCTTACTGCGAAAGTTGCCTCAAATGTTACGCCCTGCTTTTTTTCAAGTGTCGCCAGGACTGTGGATCTGATTGGTCGCTTTCTGCACCCCTCCTGCGGCGCACACACTCACTCACAGCACCTCTCCAACACCGAACAACTTACAAGATGAACTCGGTGCAACCAACACATATTTCTAAAACAAGAAGTCAATAAATACTTCAAAACACTATATAAATACTAATACATTATATTTTCACGCATTTTGGTTTTTAGGAAAACTTTGATCAAAGGTTATATATATATACACACACACATATATATGTATATATATATACACACACACACACACATATATATATATATATAACTTGTATCATGCAGACACACGCACGGTGTTGACGACACTTGGCGTGCACGGGCTCGAGGCTGGTCGCTGTGATATCAGGAAATGTTTAGTGGGTGAGTGCGATTGCATAATCGAGACCGAGAGGCCAAACTTTGAAGTTGTGCCAGATCTAATACACATGACACTTATCTGCATGTTACGTTTTCCTCTGCTTATCTTTCCCTGTATAAATAAAGTGCATTTTAGCCTAGAATTGCATTTAAAAAAAATAAAAAAAATTTTTTTTTGCATTGTATCATTTATTTAAAAAAAATATAGACATGAAACCTAAAATTTTCAACAAGCTGCAACAAAGTAAAAATCAAATCCTTCAAGAAACTCAAACTCTAAACTCTAACAAAAACGATACAATACTGCCCTCTAACGGTCTCAATGCCTCTCGTCAAAAAAAGAGCTTGAGCGCCACCTACAGGCAAAAAATATGACAGGCCAAAAATATATTTCACTTCACATTCCCTCTTTTTTTCTCCTTCAGTTCCCATTGCATTTCTCAGCAGTACTCTTTTATTACAATTCCTTTTTTTATGGTTTCAGTGAAGCACATTTACACACAAATGAAAAAAAAAAAAAAAAACTGATCCTGGTGAGGAGAACGGTATGTATTATTTTACCCACCCTGTGTGTGTGTGTGTGTGTGTGTGTGTGTGAGGAATAGGCTGCTGACATTCCAAAACATTACATCATTTTACAGTAAAAGGGGAACATTGCTACTACAGCCCCTGAAGGCAGCCCAGCTGTCTACTTAGCAAACGGACACCAGACTGTTTTGCTCAGATTGCATAACATACACAGGAGCAAGCAAAAAATGTCAGTTAAGCTATGCATAAGAAAATACAACAGCTTGCTCAAATACCACAAGGTGTGATATTGAAAACACAGCTGAGTTGAATTGGTTTCAGTGAAGCACATTTACACATAAATGAAAAAAAAAAAAAAAACTGATCCTGGTGAGGAGAACGGTATGTATTATTTTACCCACCCTGTGTGTGTGTGTGTGTGTGTGTGTGTGTGAGGAATAGGCTGCTGACATTCCAAAACATTACATCATTTTACAGTAAAAGGGGAACATTGCTACTACAGCCCCTGAAGGCAGCCCAGCTGTCTACTTAGCAAACGGACACCAGACTGTTTTGCTCAGATTGCATAACATACACAGGAGCAAGCAAAAAATGTCAGTTAAGCTATGCATAAGAAAATACAACAGCTTGCTCAAATACCACAAGGTGTGATATTGAAAACACAGCTGAGTTGAATAAAACCTCTCACATTCTCAGTATTGTAAACACACATTACTGTACAAAAGTAATCCCACAGTTAAATGAATGTAATAAACTTTATTTGAATTAAAAAAGTATGTGGTCATGCCTGCATGCAATTCAGCTCTTAAACAGGAAAACCACTGTGAGATTAAAATAGGTTCGTAATGCATGACACCTTTCAATTTCTCTATCTTTCACAGTCATCTAAGAAGATCTAAGTGTATCTAGAAGATTCAGAGCGAGTGACGTTCTCTCTTTCCGCAGCGATATCTTGGCATACTCGATGGTGGCTGAAAACTGGGGCAGTGCAGGGAGGGCTTTCGTCGAATGCTGAGCCGCCAGGGCATTGCTCTTTGCGATGGCTGATAGTCGGTCCAGTTCTGCGGCGCTTACATCAGGTGAATGTGTCACACTTACGAGGGCAGAGAGGTGTCTGTGCAACATCCGTGCCCATAACAAAGGCTCTGCCCACAGGTTAAGATCTCCCTTCTCAAAGAGGAACTCCTCATCCTGGAAAAGGAGGAGAATAAGAAGAACCTACATATTTAAACTAGATTTTCTGAAGACAAAGCGAGCAGGGCATTGACAATGAAGACAATGGGTGCTTCCAGGGAATTGCTATGCAGTTTCCAAAGTGTTTTGAGTGATTTTTAGTTCTTTGATATGCAGTAGGGCGTTCTGGGGGATTTCTAGGGTGTTAATAAGTGAATGCGTAGTGGCCTATTTTAATAGACAGGTCATATAAAGTGCAACAGTTGGGTTCTGGAATTAAAAATCCAATTTATAGATTTTAAACTGTAACTTATACACTTTGAGCAGTGAGGTTATAAATCAATGGTATATGCTTTAGTTGAAGCCGTCAGTCCCTTATTTCAACTTATTTTTAAGATAATCATATTGAATAGAGGAATTCCTGGTGGAAAAAACTACATTACCCATGATTCTGCAGAAAAATCTCCACACATCAAGCAATTCACAAAAGAATACTTTAGCACCCATTATGACATACTTGAGTCAGTCTCCATATGCTCTCAAACTACTTCAATATTTGTATATTAAAGCACAGTTTGCAATAAACTAAATATATTGTTTTTATTATGTCATTCTCAGGGCTTTATGGGATTGTAGTCCTTTCCTCATTGAAGCTGTTAAGAATCCAATTTTTAAATACATTTTTAGCTTCAAATCAAAGTTTGTAATGTTGTGATTCACCTTGTAACTGTTTGGTTTATAGCTTACAACTCTTCAACAGATACTTTAAAATTCCTATGGGAAAAATGAATGGGGAAAATATTTCCAGAATCAAGGTGGCTAAAAAATATAGGTCCATCAATGTAAGTCTATGGGGTTTTCCACACAATTGTATCACCCGCTATCTGAAGCTTAAACATTTCACAGTTTTGAAAAGTAATAGCACACCGCTCCACAATAAGTTGCCAAATTTTTGTGTCATGATTCTGATGTCATTTGTGGCTGTACAAATTTAGTGCCAAAGTTTAAAAAAGCTCCCAAACATGAGCAAAATCAGTAATGCATTAAAAACAAGTTACACAAGAAAAAAGCAAAAGTGCTCCTTACCAAGTCCAGTGACTCTTCACACCTTGTATCCGATTGTTCATCTCCCAGGAGCCACTGTATCAGGTTCACCATTCCAGCAGCCACCTGGTCCCACATCTGGAACAGCTGGCACAAAAGACCCACCCCCATCTCCAGGGCAACCGGAGGAGAGACGGCACCCGTGGAAACACCTAGAAATGCGGTAGAGCACAGAAGTCTGACAGATATTCCCTGATGTAACAGAATTCAGCGAAACGAATGATTCTGGAACACACGTATGGAAAGTTTAAATAGATCAATTTAATGAGCCATGTCAATCTTAGTCTGGTTTCTTTCGTCTCCAAGGCATTACTGGGTTCAGGCAATGGAGGTGGTGCTTTGCCACAATGCAATCTGCTCCCAATCTGAGACTTGCCAGAGCGTTGGATGTAAAGCAACAGCCTGAGATTGATGCCTCGCTCTCTTTTTGTTCTCTAGACAGCGTGTTTCCATCTTCGCCTGGCATGGAACCCATTTGAGAGAAACAAAACTATAACTCAGAAGCAAAACGCGCACAACGGAAACCACAACGTGCCATATGCACGCGTGCAGGCATTTGATACCGGTCGTTTTTGACTCAACGGTCGGGAAGTTGGGTCTAAGAATAGGTTTAGATGTGAGATAAGGGAAGTGAGAAAAGATCTAAGTACGCATACGAAGACACAACAACACTGACGCCCATCGACCTCCCTTTGGCTTTAACGACCCCAGTTGTTCATGCATCAAAGCAGTAACGTGAGAGATCTGATGCAGTTTGTTTTGAACTCCGGTTTCCCTCCACCACCCCCCTTCCTAACCAGAATCTGACATGCAAATTACTAAGGCGACTTCAAAAGTCATCAGGACTTGCCAGTCAAAACCAAAAGAGAGAACAAGAGCAAAGCAACACCTTAAAGGCTGCCCACCCATTCACCCCTCCCCCAAAAGGAACTCTGGGAAAGCAACCTCTACACAGATCGGCTTTCCAAGGCAAATTTAGTAGAAGGCCACAGACAGACGTTACAAGAACATGGAAAGAACATCAGGTGGTGACATGGTCCTTTCTCTGTGTGATGTGTTGGGACGCCCCATCTCTTGCTTTACCGGAGTCTGATGTCAGAGGTGCTTTTCATCCCCGTGGACTTTGGTGCTGGACGCCATCCAAGGCCGAACAAATAACGGCACCCAGACATTAAGAAATAATAGGAAACTCAAGCTCTTTCCATTCCCTTTTCTGTGGTTTAGCACTTTAATAACAGGATTTCTTAATCTCTTCAGCGCTTACTCAACAGGATGTTCTGTATTCACATCTGCGAGAGCGAGTGTTTTGGGTGTTATTTTTAAGGAGAACCTTTGATGTGTTTCAGAACATTCATATAACATATCGCATCTGTATAAATTCCAAATTTAAAGGCTGAAAATGTACGCTCTCATTTAAAAAAATGTTACTTTTGCGGGTACAACAGCTTGTTACTTGTGCAGTACCCTAAAAAGGACAACTTTGTATCTTTTTTTATGCCTAAAACGATCATAGTAGCACCTTAAGAGTACATATTACTACTCTATTATGCACCTTTTATGGGTAGATAAGGTACAAAGTTGTCCTTCTACCACTTCTGTATTTTCATAATGTTCCTAACGGTGTATGCAACAGTGTGTTCAAGTCCTTGCTGCTCTTAACGGGATATTTTACCCAAAAACTAAAATTCTGTCACCATTGACTCACCATCATGTTCTTCAAACCGGTTTGATGTTTTGTTCTTCTGTGGATATTTTGAAGAATGCTGGTAACCAACCTGTTTTGGTGACCAGTGGCTTCTATTATATGGAGATAAACACACTAGCTGGGTTTCCATCCAAAGTTGCGAATTTAACTTGTGCGCAAAATTGGAAAATCGCATAAAACATTTGCGAATAAGCACCGTTTCCATCCAATGAGTCACTTCCTGATAAACTAGCATATATCACTAAGAAAAGTATGAGAAGCCACTGAATATAATTTTTATTATTTGCGCCTCAGAGCAAGCAGACGAAACAATAAATGCGGTCATTGCTGTTTGGGAACGCTGTCATGTAAGACAATTATATAGAAATACTTTGATGACAGACAGAACATTTCAGATGCTGTGGAACGAGATGGGTCAGGTTTTGCCGTCCCATAGGGCAAAGTTACATAACTTTTTTGATGCGTATGGAGGAATTTATGCGGCATAAAGTTTCCATCTCCCATTATTCGCATTAACCCTTTTTCGCACAAGTAAAAACCACCTCAAGCGAGCGTAAAAACTTAAATTAAGTGATTTTGATTTGAAATTTGCCGTTTCCATCACTGCGATACTTCAGAATGCGCATAAAAACAGGGTGATGGAAACATAGCTACTGAGACATTCCTCAAAATGTCTTCTTTTAGGTCCCACAGAAGAACAAAAAATGACACAGGTTTGGAACGAGTACATAATAACAGACTTTTGGCTCAACTATCCCTTTAAGTTAAAGTGAAGAAGCTTCTAGATCTTGGCTGTAGATGTGACAGACAGCAGAAATGTTTGTGAGGTGTTTCGGGGCACTTCGCCCAGCCGGTTTGTGTCTAGGCGCACACAGTTGTGCAGAGATTCCAGAAGGAAGAGAAGGGCAGTTTCATTCCCGTAATCGATCTGTGGGAGTCGTGGAACTGGAACTAATTAAAAAACTTTCTGAATAATGAGAGCAAGAAGAGCTTTAGTGTGTGGCAAATCTGGGATGTGAGCGAGCACAGCTGGGCGAGTGTCGGGTGTCGGGCGAGCAGGAAGATGGGCTGGATGAATGAGACGACCTCTCCAAATCCTTATTTATCAAGCCTACCCATGATGCAGCAGGGGTCTCATAGTGGGTTTGACCACTTTATCCCAATAAACTACACTAAACAGACCTAAAAATGGAAATTCTGTCATTTACTCACTCTCATGTTGTTCCAAACCTGTATGACATGCTTTCTTCAGTGGGACACAACATAATACTTTCTGAAGAATATCCTGACTGCTTTTCTTAGTATAATGAAAGTGAATGAGGATGGGTGCTGCCTAGCTCCAGAAGAACAAAAAAAGCACCATAAAAGTATTCACATGACGGTGAAGTCTTCAGAAGCCCTATGATAACCTTTTGTGTTCCACAGAAGAAAGTCATACAGGTTTGGAAAGAAATGCATACAGAAATTTAAATTCTGTATACACACACACAGTCTTACTTATCAAGGTAAATCAAATGTTAAATCAAAGGCACAGGGCTTGTATGTGGCTAGAGCTTTCAGTGCATGTGGGAATGACCACATGTGCATCATTGCACACTCTCTCACATACATACATGCATATTTGGACACACACCCAGAACAAGGTGCAAGAAGTCTGCGGGCAGGAAGTGTTGGTGTGGGCGAGAGTGGTGTCAAGGTGCGAAAACACACACACTTTTACAGCTCTAACTTCCTTCAGAGATCTATGAGAAACAAGGAACTAGAGGCGGCTCAAACACAAACACACGTACACATGCAAGCATTCTCGCACGCACAAACTAGATAGACCGACAATCCGATAAATATAAATATCAACTTCTTTCGTAGTATTTATACCATTATATTAGTGCCATTATTTTTAATTGACAAAAATCTTTATGTAATAATAACAGATCACAAAAATTGCACAAATATAAGGGTGTAAATAACAATGATATTATTATACCATTATATTTGTGCAATTTTTGTGATCTAGCTATTATTTTTAATTCTACTGTTGCAGTGTAATGACTTTTTTTGTCAAAAGCAGAAGCTAGAACTGTTATCAGTTGACAAAAAATCTCAATCTCTGTCAGCTCCCATTGGGAGAGCAAGAGACCAATAACTGCATACCTTAAACCTACATTTGATTTTCAGTGCAGCTTACTTTTATGATCATGGCCCTGGATATTAAGCAGGCCAGCAGAATCAGGTGAAGCACTGGAGACGGATATCATCTGACACATTTATGTCAAAACTAAGACGTCTGCTAGAGTTCTTTAGTGTCCCTTACATCAGTCTAACCTGTCTAACGGGAGTGTTACAGTATCACCCAGGTGTCTGCTGGTTAAAAGGCCTGGCACACGGTCACATGACCCTAAGACTGATGGGAAAAAGACTCTGTAACGTATGTGGTACCTCAGAATCCTTAGAATTCTTCCTGTGTCAATAGACAGTGGCTGCCCATTTTTTCAGAGGCCTTGGTTCAGGAAGCATTTATCCTATTAATTTTCTTCATAGGGATTTGTAAAATTCAGTAAAGGCCAAAAAGCTCTGAGTTGAATCACAACTTTATTTTAAGGTCCGATTTTCACTAATAACTAGTTGCTTATTAGCATGCATATAACTAGCTGTTTATTAGTACTCATTAGACATGTATTAATGCCTTATTCTGCATGACTAAGTTCTAGATCCTTTAACCTGACCCCATACCTGAACTTAACAACTACCTTACTAGATATTAATAAGCAGCAAATTAGGAGTTTATTAAAGGGGTCATATGATGCGATTTCAATTTTTCCTTTCTCTTTGGAGTGTTACAAGCTCTTGGTGCATAAAGAAGATCTGTAAAGTTGCAAAGACTAAAGTCTCAAATCCAAAGAGATATTCTTTATAAAAGTTAAGAGTCAGCCACACCTACCTAAAACGGCTCGTTCTAACACGCCCCCACGTCTACGTCACGATGTGGGAAGATTTGCATAACGCCGCCCAAATGTTCACGCAAAGAAAGAAGGCGTAACTTTTATTCTTGCTGTAGTATTGTTGCCGCCGCCGCCATGTCGTGAAGGCGCTGTGTGCTTCGTTGTGAATGCGAAACTACTTTGTTTGGCCTTCCAAAAGAGTACGAAATCGCTTCGTCATGCCTGGAGCTGATCCATGCTGGTCGCTGAGGAAATACTTCAACTTCGCGCTGTGGATCACCGGATCGGCTTTCACCGTGGACGAAGCGGAGTCCAGCCCGGGGTCGTCACGTGTGGTTGCCGCAGGCATCACAATATGGAAACGGAAGGAACATTTCCGTCACACGATTGAGGAATTCGGCCAATCACAACGCACTGGATAGCTGGCCAATCAGAGCACACCTCGCTTTTTCAGACCGATGAGCTTTGTAAAAATCGACGCGTTTCAGAAAGGCGGGGCATAGAGGAGAAACAATGTACAGTATGTGGAAAATAATGTGTTTTTTGAACCTTAAACCGCATAAACACATTTCATTACACCAAATACACAAAATAATGTTCTTTTTAGCAAAATCATATGAACCCTTTAAGGCAAAACTCTTAACAGTGAATATGTATTCCCTATTCTAAAGTGTTACCATAAACTTTGATATGAAGTTAAAAATACTCAACAATTTGAGACCAACAGTTGCTCATTTCCATGGATCTAATACAGATTCTGTACAGAAATTCAGCAATTAAATATCATTAAATAATTATAATAATAACTAATTTGTTAAAATTATACAATCTCAGAGCTCATGGAAATGATTTATATAATTAAAAATCAGTTTCTTAATGGATAAAACAGGATTTTAGTTCCAGAACATGTTTAAGCTAAAATGAATGACAGGGCCAATATGCCTAAACTATTAGTGCCAAAGAGCTCTGCTTTAATGATTGAGCACCTTTGAGCTACACTACGGGTTTAATGCATGGATGATCCACGGATCAGTTCAGACCTCATCTTGTAATCCATTACATGAATGACTACAGGGCATCTACTGCTAAAGACATTACACGCACAGCACTGGAGCTGGACATTAGCTGACTGGTGAGAACGTCCTCAAAACGAAACCAGATGCGCCAAGAACAATACCAACCAGAGTAATGCGAGCAACAAATGTTTAAGGTTTTTCAAAAGAGTTGAAAGAGTTGATGTTGTACTTGGATATAACATGGGGGGAAAAAGCTTTGCAATTTACATGTAATAACAGTAATAATGCTTTATATTTAAATATGGCAAGTAAAAACACGATTCGGTAGTGGAACAAGAAGGAGCATTATTATGGTGATTCACATTATGGCGACAACAATAATACACCAAGGCAACATAATTAATGGTTCTTGGTTTAGGGATTCGAACAAAACTTTAACCCTAAGCAATAAACTATGCGTCCCACACCGTTTGAACTTCTGACATGAGTAATGCCTCAAATCACGCGTTTTGTTGACCAGAGGTTATTTCTAAGGGATCAGAATGTGATTTTTGCCTGGCAGAGGAAAAACAGGCAAAAAAAGTCCCTTAGTAATGCTGTAGACTTGCATATTACAGAGTTTTTTTTTAACTTGGGCCAGTAAGCAACACCTTAGCAACTACTCATCACCAAATATTTACACTTGTTCAATGCTACGTCTCTGTAACCGAGGCAAACCAGTCCCGAAAAAAACCTGGCAAACACAAGTGAAAAGCACTGAGCATTTCGGGGACAGTAATTACATTTGAAATGCTTGAACACTCCCGAGTTCCCCCCGTGAGAATATGGTCCTATTCCGTCTTAATACTGTTATCAGATGCACCTCTCACCCTCCTAAAAGCCTTGTCAAGTGATGCCAGGGGTTCTGATTTCCAACCTAATTTGTATTGAGATAGCAGAGGAATAAAAGTGTCTAATTGAATTCGGTTTCGTGTACTGCACAAAGACTTCACTGTGACGGTGAAAAGAAAGAGGGCCAAGTACAAAGCCAGAAATGTGATTACAGTGCATGGGAGATCATGTTAGTTACTTCATATATATCTGAACTGCTTCATCTTTCTCAGAGTCAAGTTTCTTTCTAAAACTAGAAGTCTGTTGAAAAGTAACATACCAGTAAACTATTTTTTCACCATCAACATTTTAGGATAAAATTTACACATGCATTACAGTTCAAAAGTTAGGGATAGGAAAGATTTTAATTAAATGTTTTTGAAAATAGTCTCTCATGTTCACCAAGGCTGCATTTATTAGATCAAAAATACTGTAAAAACCATAATATTGTGATATATTATTACAATTTAAAATAACTTTTTTTCTATTTGAAAATATTTTAAAATGTAATTTATTCCTATGATGCAAAGCTGAATTTTCAGCATCACATGACAGAAATCATTCTAATTTGCTGATTTGCATATATTTGCAAACATTTCCTATGATTTTCAGTATTGAAAAGAGTTGTTCTGCTTAATATATGTTTGTGGAAACTGTGATGCATTTTTTTCTTCTTCTTTTTTTTAATTGAACTTCTGCAACAATGTAAAAGTTTACACTGTCATTTTTTATCAATTTAAAGTGCCCTAAAAAATAGAATAAAAAACCTTACTGACCTCAAACCTTTGAACAGTAGTGTTTTATAATGTAATAAATTATAACATAATATAATATAATATAATGCATTAATAAATGTAAAACATTATTTTTTCCTAAATTAATTGCACCAAATTATTGTTAAATCAACCGGCCTAAATATAATATATAAAATTATACACAAAATGCTAAAATATAAAGTTATACACTTGTGCGGAGTGACAAATTAATTTTTAAAGTACAAATATGCAATTGTCGTTTGGGATCATTTGCAGCTAGCCATTCACTAAACACAAAATAAATCCAATATTTTGTGATAATGACTGGCTGATGAAAGTTGAGACAATAATTACCACCTAATGTAATAATTATACAGTTCAACGATCATTATACAAAAACATTTTTAGAATGCAGTGATTGACCAATCAGAGTCAAGTATTCCAGCCAACCATGTATATGAGATCAGAAAAATTGCATGCATAACAATTTTACATCTCATGTAGATCAACTGCAGCAGCTGTCACTGCTTGATACTTCATGTCAGCTACCCAAAACCAGTAACTTATTGTGGGTTGGCGACAAGAGAAAGCACAAAGAATTGTGGGACAAGGCTTTCTCAGACTCTTCCCCCACCCTGCTCTTGTTTTTCTTGCCCATGTGAAGCAGGATATCAGCGTGTCAGAGAATGTGGTAATGATGTTGTTTTGATGTGACTGATTTATGGGACAGAGGTGCTGCTCCTCTCTGCATCGCTGACCCACACACCTCCATTTCAAAGGCGCAGGGCTGCCGTTCACCGCCTCTCCTCCACACCTCTCCTCTGTCGCTCAGTCAGACGAGCTCGTAAACAGCACTGACCTGACCTCCCCCCATCCCTCAGAAACACTCTTTAAAACACCTCCCTCATCTGATCTCCTGAGTGAGTGTTGTTCTGTGTATCCGTCTTGTGTAGGCCATGTCTCCATTGATTTAAATCAATGTTCTGGGTTCAATACAAGCACAGAAATTACACCTACAACTTTTTCCTTAGAAAAATCAGTACAGTAATGCATTCACAATGGAAGTGTTTAAAAATATGCAGCTTGCATTTTCTTTGAAATACTCATATTGATTCGAAGTTGCAAAATCTGTTTTGTTTGAGCTGTTAAACTAAATCACTCTTTAAGTGGTGAAACTACTTTGAGGAACTTTTGGTATGTGTTACAGACGTCAGTCCTGTAAACGAGTGAGCTTGCGCTCATGTAAACGATCCCTTTGTAGTATTTTTGGTTTTACATGGCCATGAAACTGAAATATTGATTATTTATTAAATTAAATATTGATTATTTATTGAATTATTAAATTATTTATTTGCACAGACAAGGGCAGCAAGTGACTCATGCTAGTTTTATGCTAACAATTACAAAGTTTACGTTTTGTGGCTATATTTCATAAACTGTGTATATTTGAATGTTTATTGCCTGTGTACTTGTTTTGTACTACTGTAACTATATATATATATATATATATATATACATACATACATAATTTATTTTTAACAAGTATCTGTAGTAGGATTTCCTAAACTGGGGTTCATGAGTTGATGAAAAGCTAATAATGATGAGCTAATAATTAATTAAATCAGATACAAATCATGATATGAAATATTGAATATTACTTTGCACACACCATTTTAGCCTACCACACATAATATGTTTGTTTGTTTGCAAATAAATAAAATTAATTTGAAACAAAAACCACCAAAAACAAATACTTAAAATACTAGAAAGAGTTTATATTATACAATTAATATTTTATTTGTTTACCTGCATGTCATGTGACCATTAACCAACATCAGACAACTGTAAACAAGCAATTGTTTTGTGAAATTAATGAAATAACTTAAAATGTACTATTATTTACTTCAAGTGAATATTTCCGGTCAAAGGGGTTTGGCTGATGAAAAAAAAAAAAAGGGAATGTGGTATTCAACGTTACGGCACAAAGGCTTTCAACAGAGCTTCACTTGCACTGAACCCAGAGTGTTCTTTTAGTGTGTGTGTGTGTGTGTGTGTGTGTGTACCTGTGCTGTGTAAATGGGCTGGTATGTAGCAGGTGAAGTCAGCTGCTCCGTCTCTGACGTCCTGATCTTCATCCTGTAATAATGTAAACAGGCTCTTCCATAGTGCCACAGTGTGTGTGATACCTGGAAAACACACACACAGTGTAAGCTTTAGTTCAAATTCCTGCATACGTGTTCTTGTCCACAGACGTCCACTCACCCAGAGGCAGGGCTGGAGCCGTCAGTAAGGTGGGGACGGCCTTCACCAGCACCTCTGCTGACATGAGTTTGACTTCTGCAGGTTGATCCTCAGTGCAGCCCTGCATGACCAGCGCCCCCAATCTGCTCAGACAGACCACTGCAGCCTCACTGACATCCTGCTGCAAGACAAACACATTACTGAAAGAACATCAGTCTCTCAGGGGAAAAAACTCCTGTGGTGATATACCATGGTACAGTGATGCATAAGATAGTAATGCCTTGGAAAGTTGATATATACAACATAGTGCTGTATGTTTGTATTGTATTATATATTATATTATATAATGACTATTATTAGATACTTCACTGTATGTTATTATTGTTATTCAGCGCAGCCCTGCATGACCAGCGCCCCCAATCTGCTCAGACAGACCACTGCGGCCTCACTGACATCCTGCTGCAAGACAAACACATTACTGAAAGAACATCAGTCTCTCAGGGAAAAAAACTCCTGTGGTGATATACCATGGTACAGTGATGCATAAGATAGTAATGCCTTGGAAAGTTGATATATACAACATAGTGCTGTATGTTTGTATTGTATTATATATTATATTATATAATGACTATTATTAGATACTTCACTGTATGTTATTATTGTTATTGTACAACAGCTTGTGATTCAGAAAGTGATTAATCTAATCTGTTATAATAACTGGTGCAATCCATTTTTTAATATTAGTTTTACTGTTTTGAGTCTTTTTTTTGTTTTGTTTTTTTGCATTGATGCCAAACTTGTCATTCACTTGCTTATGAATCAATTAATTTGTTGTTCATGTAAATGCAAAGTATTGGTTTGCATCCATCCAGTTCCAAATTAATAGTAGAACATTGAAATGAAAGACACTTTCTCTTTGAATTAAATCAGTTAGCTCACAGTATTATCCAAATGTTACCACATTTAAAACAGAAACCATATTTTATTGAAATTCCAGCAAAAATAACTTTATAATAAAACTAAAAATATATTATTGTGATATGTGATTGTGATCATGCTTTGACAATACACTACTGTTCAAAAGCAAAAATACACTAAAACATGCATTAATATTGTGAAATATTATTACTATTTAAAATAACCATTTCTATTTTTTTTTTAATAAAATGTAATTTACTCCTGTGAGGCGAAGCTGAATTTCCAGCATCATTACGCCAGTCTTCAGTGTCACATCAAAAATAATTTTAATATGCTGATTTCATGCTCAAGAAACATTTCTTATCATTAATGTTGAAAAGAGTTGTGCTGGTTAATATTTTTGTAGAAAATGCGATTTTTTTTTCTTTTCAGGATTCTTTTAGAAATACAAAGTGTTTAAGAACAGCGTTTATTTAACATTAAAATAAAATAAGATTTTTTTGTAACAATGTAAAAATCTATGCTGACACCTGAAATTAAAGAATCTTTGCAGAATAAGTATTAGTTTCTTTATAAAAAAATAAAAATAAATAAAAAAGACCACAAACTTTTGAACTGTAGTCATTGAAATCACATTGTCAACTATGAAAAACAATCTCTGAAGCCATAAAGCTCAGTCCCCCTCCCCCTCATCACACCTAGCGGCTAATCGCCTAACGACCATTCACAAACATTTCAGTGAACTACAAACAACGTTAACAGCTCTTAAAAACTTGCGTGAAATCAAACAGGTTAATCTTTCCGGAGCCTGTGGTTAAGCTAAAGCACATATGCTCTTTCTTTTTTCCCAGGGATTTTCATATTTGTAGTGAGATGAGGCGGAATGTTAAGCCGTTATAAGGTTAAGTATCTGTAATCTGCTCCAGTCTAGATAGAGAGTGATAGAGTGTCCAGTTTAACTTGCTTAAGTCTGTCTGGAAACTTCCAACACAATGCTTCACTCTTTCCCTTCCTCTGTCTCTTGTTTCTTTTCTTCTTCCTTACCTGCGGCGTTGACTCGGCCAGGTGCAGCACCAGCTGAGATGTTAGGGAGAGAGCGGCACAGTAGAGCTCCACACTGAAACACACACAAGAACAGCTGCATACTTCAGTTTATTACCAACAACTGGGAAAGTGAGGGTGATGCAACAAAAATACATCAAATATTGTCATAAGTCATGTTGATTGCTCGAGGCGTGTTTTCCACATGAACTGATTTTTCCAAAAAATTCAGCAGAAAACAGAACGACAATGACCAAAATCTTTTTTTTTCTCTTTTTTTTTTACAGGGTTGTCATGTAAATTCACTGACCGGCTAACAACACGTTTTCTTTTATGCATTTCCATACATGCAACACAGGGTCTTCCATGAACATTTGTGAATGCTGATAAATGAATTGATATGATTCACTAAAACATTTTAAAAGGAATGACTCCCAGGACTTTTTGGGAGAGAATAAATAAATAAACACTTACGCACACACACACACACATATATTATATGTATATGTATGTATGTATGTATGTATGTATGTATGTATGTATGTATGTATGTATGTATGTATGTATGTATGTATGTATGTATGTATGTATGTATGTATGTATGTATGTATGTATGTATGTATGTATGTATGTATGTATGTATGTATGTATGTATGTATGTATGTATGTATGTATGTATGTATGTATGTATGTATGTGTGTGTGTGTGTATATATATATATATACACACACACACACACACACACACACACATAATATAAAATACCAAGTTATGACACGAGTGACACAAAACTCACCTAGAATACATAATGGATAAAAAAAGCATATAAGAAAATGAATAAATAAATTAGTAAATAAAGCCTAATCTAGCGTTATAAGGTTCTACACTAAAAATTATTACAATTATTACAAAGATAATTGGAGTATGTTTTACAAGAAAAAACTATGTGTCTTTCTTCAGAATTTTTTTTAATTCAGTGTGCCACTTGCCATTTATTTGTAATGAACTGAATTTTTTTATTCATTATTTTTAGTACACAAAAATTCTAAATATGAAGCCAATTAATTATTCATAAAACTCATATTTATTACAGAAATTTCCAGGATTTTATTATTATTATTATTATCATTATTATTATTATTTAAAGCTACTGTATCTACTTTCACTCTTGAACTTTCCAGTTCTGTAAATAACCATTTTAGAATTTCCAGATTTTTCCACCTCCGTCTGGACCCTGATCATAAATGCTGTCTGATCATAAACTGACGACACACTGATACACACTTGAAAACGACCCCCAGGCCGAGTCCAGAGGGGCTGGTTTACTAACTCGATCTCAGAACAGGTGTAATCCAGCATGTGTTGTCCAACAGAACACGGCTACCAAAATACACTCAGCAAATGTGTCATTACACAACACTGCAAGTGTCCAAGTGCGTTACACAATCGCAGACACACACAGCTAACCGTAAGTACTACGGTGTTGCTTAATCACAGGGCGACTGCTACAAAAGACATGTATCATGTCACACTGTACAAACAGCAATACGCCGCGAAGCGTTTCACAACACTGAACTTAAGGGGAGAGACTGAAAGAGTATGAGCGTCGCAGGGAGCGGGAGTCTTTGTAACGTAATACCGACGGCCTGTGTTCACTGCGCACTGGGTTGTTATTCTGAGGCCCCTACAGGCACCTAGGAGCCAAAAACAACAGTCCAACTGCACCTGCTGCCACATAAACACACATTAAGACATGCACACAACCTCCTAGCATGTACATACCCACAAATTATAGGGAATAACCCTATGTAAAGGTATACGAACACTCTCTCAATTGAAAGCACAGGTAGCTGTGACCCTTTAATGTGTAAATCAATCTCCCTCCCGCTCTGCCGTAGGTATGAAAGAGTGATTGATGTACACGGGCCTGCTGGCGACCACAGGTATGTGTGGTTTCTTTTGTAGTCGGAGCCCACATCTGAAGCCATTACGCTTCCCGCTAACAGTGCTAGCCGCTCAACAGAGTACCTCTCGCCTCCCCAGAGGGATCTCCACCACCTCAAACCGCTGCCTCAACAATGAGGAGGTTTGTTGGGAGTCCACAGCTGCTGAGAGCATGCTATGTTTTTAGGGTGCTGGTGCAATCTAGTATGCAATATTAATCTTTTAAATCTGGTGTGTGCACAACCAGATGCGAATGGAAAATTAATGTTCATCATGTCTGGTGACTTGTTAAGGGCGAAATCCAGTTTTTTTCCAATGGGAAATCAAGCTACTGGGAATTTTGACAGATTTATCCACGCAGATTTTGTAACGGGTTCAAGCTGGTCACACGGATTCGCCACTTTGTCAAACAGAAAGCTGCTTGCTTTGAAAGTGACTTCTGTGTATGCTGTGCTTTCTATATCTGCACTATTGACAATATACACCGCATCTTTTTTTTTAGCCTGTGAAATTTCACCAAAATTTGTCTAATGTGAAGGTTCCCCGTCTCCCATTGTTTGGACTGATGGTCAAATGTCAGTGTCCATTGTGGTTACTGATATGTGAAGAGTAGGACGGCTAATACAATGCTGATATATAGGCTGCTTATATATAGGCTATAGGCTGCTGAATGCTGATATAAAGGCTACATAATACAATTTAATAACAGCAAATGAGATATACATACAATAGATATAATATGGTAGACATGTCTAATGTCTAAATATGATTACTTATGATAGTTCATCCACTTCTGGTTTTGACGTCTCAAAGTCAAAGTTTTTTTTGAATGGGTTTTTGGTGAAATGCCTGAAATAAGGCTAGTGGTCAACACGAGCTCAAGATTTTTTCTCGCTTTATTCTGACGACACAAAATACAACGTGTCTTGGGACTATAGAGGTTGTTTGGGACAGTAAACATTATCATGGCAAACTGTAAAACTAATCTACTAAATCTAAACTTGTCCTCCTTCACAGGATCATGTTTATAAATTGCGGTTTTGGGAACTATTCTATTTTAATTCAAACTTTTCCATTTGTAGATTTTAAATAACAAAGCGGCACAGAGCACCGGACGCGACAGGTAAAGTCTGTCTACACTGGATGCGACAAAGTGACCGTTGAAAATCATTTGAAATTTGTGTCAGCACGTCATAAATAGAACGCGGCAGCAGTATACTGTCGGGGATTTGTCGTGTCGTGCCGCGCCGTGCTGCATCCAGTATAGACAGCATCACTGGCTATAGTGAGTTCTATAGTATTTTGTCGCGCCGCACTGCGCCGCACGCGTCCAGTGTAGACACGGTGTAATGCCTTACGGTTTTTTGCAAAAGGCGATTTTCAAGTGAAGTAGCTTCTATTATTTTGTTTACCTCATCAGCAGCTCACGCAGTGTTGGTTGCTTGGTAACAGACCTGAGAGTGGATCGTCGAACATGATAATGCAATTTAAGATTTCCTAACTAGAGATAAGATACGATTTTGGAAGATAGGATAAGAATCCCAAATCAAGTTAAGATTTGCTTCTGTAATTCGAATTTGTGAAAAATCCTAATTTAACATATATCTTAAGTTAAGATCTAAGATAAGAAACTTTCTGTAATACGCCCCCTGGAGCACAAAACCAGTCTTAAGTAGCACGGGTAAATTTGTAGCAATAGCCAAAAATACACTGTATGGGTCAAAATTATAGAATTATTTCTTATATGCCAAAAATCATTAGGATATTAAGTAAAGATCATGTTCCATGAATATATTTAGCAAATTTCCTACCATAAATATATCAAAACTTCAGTTTTGATTAGTAATATGCACTGCTAAGGACTTTATTTGGACAACTTTAAAGGCGATTTTCTCAATATGTTTTTTTATTTTTTTTGCACCCTCAGATTGAAGATTTTCAAATAGTTGTATCTCAGCCTAATATTCAAACTATACATCAATGGAAAGCTTATTTATTCGGCTTTCAGATTGATGTATAAATCTCAATTTTAAAAAATTGACCCTTATGACTGTTTTTTTTGGTCCAGGGTCACATATTGGGTTATTTGCCATTTTTTATCTCTTTTGTTTCATTAAAAGGACTTTGTCTGGCAATTACTCATTACGTTCTCAGTCAAATTATAATCTTTGTGTGCCCCTTGTCAGAACTGAGCTTGGTAAAACCTTCAAATAAAGGATTCTTCTCCAAAAGGACATGAAGTTACAAAACTTGGTGTCTTATAATTATTTTTAAAAAATCATTAAGTCATCTAGACAGTGAATTAATGGTGTGTAATTGTTTTTAATTGGTTATATGTTTGTATGATGGCTTTAGTGTTGTATGATGTAACTTTGTTGTTTATTTGTATACGCAAACTCGGCTGCCTATCTTGGCCAGGACACTCCTGCAAAAGAGATTTTAAGATTAAATCTCCTGCAAAAGAGATTTAAGATTCTTTTAAGAGTCTTTTTCCTGGTTAAATAAAGGTAATATATATAAGAATGTTTCTGGGAGCTTATTGGTGGTGACACTGAACTCATGCAACCGTGGTGTAGTTTGTTTATAGTGTATAGCTTTTTACTTTTGCCGATTGCATTTATGCTTCAAAATTCATATGTTGTGTTCATTTGTGAAGATTATCACGATGAACAAAACGTGCAAGAATCAGAAACTTTTGTTGGTCACACAACTCATTTTCTGGAATAATTCAACAGTCCACGGAAAAAAAAACAGATGATATCATTTCATCTGTATGGCTCACCTGTGTGTAGAGGTTTCCAGCAGTGTGAGGAGATGCTCTAGAACCTCCAGACAGCTCAAAGACGTCATCCCATCTCTCCAGGGCAGCAGCGAAGAAAGAGGGAGGACAGCGAGAACCTGCAAAACCTGAAGACACCAAAAGAAATGGAGACTTAAGTCATATTTTCAGTGGTGCATCGTGTGAGCGATCAAAGGGTTTCCAACAGTATAACAGACTGTACATCTATCCTACACATCCTTGTTTTCATTCACGTCTGAATAAATATGGCATCTACCCTGACTAATCATACACAAGGAGCATGAGACAGCAAATGTGCTGAAGTCTGTCCAGGATGTTTTGTGAATATTTTCAATGCTTTCATTTGCCAGCCACACCTCTCAACCCATATTCCTTTCATCCATATGAACATTCCCTTATTCCACCCTCCCGTCTGTCAGTAACATTCCTCCCTCCCCCTCCATCCCCCTGCACATAAAACACATCTGGTTCAGCTCTGGCCCTCGGGTTTCCCCTCAGCAGAGCGAGGGAGTTAACCGAAGACTTGTTTTTCTTCTCCTCAGACCCCCACCGTCTTGTCTTTCCTTTCCCTTCCCGTGACAGGCCAGGTACCTTACAGTGGTTTGTTGACATTATTTAGGCTTGTTTGGTTGATTATTATTTCTTGGAGTGCACAAGAGCCTTAAATAATGGCATTTTAAGCCATCTTTTTAATGGCCATTTCAGTCTTTTATACTACAGTGCATTATATTATATTTAAGCACATGACGAAACCGATGTGGATTTAGTTTTAAGACTAAAATGAATATTTTCAGAATGGATTTAGGCACTAGGCTTTAGTGCAATTGCAGTTCGATGCATATTTTCTTATTAGCGTTGCCATTTGAGCCCACAGAGGAAATTAACCCAACTTTCCTCATCACTTCCCAGAATGCTTTGGTGGAAGAGTAGACTTACCATGGAAACCAGGCCATATCGAGAGTCTAGAGCCTAACAGCAGCACTTTAAACATTAACAGTTGGCCAATAAAACAGCTTTTAAGAACACACACTCCCAGTCAGCCAAAATCACTGCAACAGACACATAGAAAAACACGCATCTCCAGACACAAACACACATGTCCTTCCAGAAAAGCCGATTCCCGTCAGCTTGAACGTTGCTTAATGATAGAAGCGGCAAAACAGCAGGGTAATTGATGGTTGGTTGAGTGTTTATGAGGAATTGAAACGCGACCCCTTTTTCTAAACAGGAAATCGCCAGCCATTTCACTTTGCAGGGCTTAAGCTCTGAGCTGAAACTGCGTTTGTGTGTATTGAGTCTGTGAATGGAAATTAAATGACATTCAGCCGGTTTCATTCAGAGACACAGCTGTGAGTAGCTCTTGTCCAGCAGGTTTTTACAGTGTAGATGTTTATTCAGCTAATCAGAGAGAATCCCCATATGAAGGCATGTGTCATTTAGACGGCTGAATTCATTAATCTCAGGACCGGATCTGTGATCAGGGTTACGGTGGATTTCAACCTGAAGAAATCCAAGGATTTTGACTGCTAACCTGCATTAAGTTTCATTCTCAAAAACCGCGAGACCTGCAAAGATTATTTCTCCTAGTACTCATATAGTCCAAAGTCATTTCATTGCTTCACATTTCTGTTTTTGTAATTTTTTTATTTTATTTAAAGTTTTTTTTCCAACTGTATTTTGTTCTGTTTGTTGTAAGTGTTTTTCAGGGTTTGATATTTTGTAAAGTTTTGCACTGCATTTTGTGAAGTTTTCCAAGTGACTGTTTTTGTATCGTGTTTTGTTAAGCTTCAAATGATATCTTTTAAATATTTTTTGTGATGTTTTGATAACGGTTTTGTAGAGTGTTTAACGTTTTGTAAAGTTGCAATTTTGTTTCAAGTTTTGTTAAATAGTTTTTTGTGTTGTTTTTGTGTAAATATATTTGCATAGTGTTTAAGGTTTTCAATGTTTGACATTTTGTAAAGTTTTGCACTGCATTTGTGAAGTTGTGTCAAGTTTTCTGAAGCTTTTGTATTTTTTTGTAAAGCTTAGTTGAGTGTCTAAAGTTGTGATGCAAATCATTTTGTGAAGTTTTGTTAAGGTTTTCTAGAGTGTTTAAAGTTTTGTAAAGTCACAATTTTAAAACAGCGTGTTGTTTTTTGTAAATATTTTTGTAGTGTTTGTTGTAAGGCTTCTGGGGTTTTGTGGAGCATTTTTGTCACATTTAACGTTTTGTAAACTTTTGCACTGCATTTTGTGAAGTTGTGTCAAGTTTTCACAGTTATTTGTAAAGTGTCTGAATTGTGTTCTTTAAAGTTCAGTAGATTGTTTGAAGTTGTAACATTATTTTGTGAAGTTGGAAAATTTTTTGTAGTGTGCTTTTGTTTTTGTAGAGTGTTTAAAGTTTTGTAAAGTAAAATTTAAAAAAAAAGTTTTGTTAAATAGTTTGTGGTGTAGTTTTTTGTAGCATTTTGTGAAGTTGGAAAATTTTTTGTAGTGTGCTTTTGTTTTTGTAGAGTGTTTAAAGTTTTGTAAAGTAAAATTAAAAAAAAAAGTTTTGTTAAATAGTTTGTGGTGTAGTTTTTTGTAGCATTTGTTATAAGGTTTTTGTAGAGTTTTTCCAGTGATATTTTGTAGCTTTAGATTCTTGGAGCTTTTGTATTGTGTTTTGTAAGGCTTAGAAGAGTGTTTAAAGGTGAAGTAATGCAAGTCATTGTTATTGTGGTTTTGTTTTTGTAAAGTGTTTAAAGTTATGTAAAGTTGCAGCTTTTGCAAGTTTTGTTGTGTTGTATTTATTTATTTATTTTTAGTTTTTGCAGTGTTTTGTACAGTATTCTGGTGCAAAAGCGTGATTTCCTCACCTTGGCTTGACACCCAGGGTAAGTCTCATGAAAGGCCAGGGAGGTTAGGCTAGACACACTGAGGTCAAAGGGCAAGGGTCCCTGACCACGATGCTGAGACTCTTCCTCTGTCTTCTGAAGTCTCCTGAGGAGCTGATCCAGGACAAACAGCCGAACCTCATAGTGCAGGCACCGCAGCAGTCGCTCCAGAAGGTCTCTCTGAAACCCGGCAGACTCTGGACAATCCCACAGGTGAGGTGATTCCACACAGACGCTCACGGCTATGTGAGCCAGACTCTGCAGATACTGTGTGGCTCCAGGAACTGAGAGGTTCATGTTATTGGGCCCCTGAGGGGCCACAAGTTCAGAGGCCATAAGAATCTGCAGAGTTTCCTCGCGCAGTTTCTTCAGCTGTGACTCTAGAGCAGAAAACAACAAATGCACTCCATTACAAGTGACAAAAAAAATCCAAAATGAAAGCATAATTGATATTAGTTGACATATCAAAGTGTACAAAGCAATGAGAGAACTACTTTAAGTGGTGTATATTACTGAAAGATGATCACGCTTTGAACTTTCGCTGCTAAATATTGACTCAGCTTCACTATGACAACACTGCTGAAAAGCATCCTTCGAAGTACAAGAGCTTCAGCGCCTCCTTTTTTCCTTATTGAATTATTATGAAGACAATATTCTTATGAAAGCTAAAATAAAGCCCACTTCTCCAACCAAGGACCCATTCAAACTCCCACAATGCAACTATCCAGCCCTGCACATGATTCAACAAGGAGTGGACCAGAGGGCGGGGCCATGCCGCATTCCCCAAGAGACGGGCCCGGTTACCCTGACACCCGAACATCAAAAGAGCTCTCATACGCTTCTCTGAGCACACTCAGATTGACCTAAAGCAGCTAGCGTGCGCCACACTCTAATTTAGCCAAGTGTGAGAGGGGATTCTGTATGTGTGCGTACTTGCATGTCTCTTTAGGCTACGGACATTGCTCAACACCTGTTTCAATGATGTTAATTATTGACATGTTCACACAGACCCTGACCGGGTGATGGTAAGGCATGTTTAAAATCAGGGTGGAGATGTTGACAAACGTTTGTAGTGATCAGAACTGGAATATCTAATCTAATGTGGAAAATACCTCTTCACCAGAACCCTGACACAGACATCGCCAACACAAAGTCAACCCAAGAAATAGACAGCAAGCTATTTAAAGAGTCATTTATCATAAATACAGATCACTTTCACATGCTTTTGTTCATGTTTTCTTGCTTCACTCAGACACAGGCACAAACATCTGCCGAGTTGCTTAAACATTCCATTAAAATTCTTACATATACACATATATTTGTCTTATGCTCACCAAGGCTGCTATTATTTTTGATCAACAATGTAATGTTGCAAAAATAATTACAATTTAATATAACTGCTTGGTATTTGAATATATTTTAAATATAATTTATTCCTGTGATGCAAAGCTGTATTTTCAGCATCATTACTCCAGTCTTCAGTGTCACATGATCCTTCAGAAATCAATGTAATATGCTGATTTAGCTGCTCAAGAAACATTTAATGTTATTATCAATTTATTAAAACAGTTGTGCTGCTTCATATTTTGTAGAAAGTGATACTTTTTTTAATGCTGTCAAACGATTAATCGCGATTAATTGCATCCGAAATAAAAGTTTGTTTGTTGTTTACATAATATATGTGTGTGTACTGTGTATATTTATCATGTCTATATAAATACACACATATACTGTATATATTATGAAATTATTTACTTGTATTTACATGTATATATTTATATTCATGTAATTTATATTATATATATAAAAATATATTTAATATATAAACAACATATTTATCTTAAATATATATGTGCATGTGTGTGTATTTATATATACATAAATATACACAGTACACACATATATATTACGTAAACAAAAACTTTTATTTTGGATGCGATTAATCGCGATTAATCGTTTGACAGCACTACTTTTTTTTAAATAAAAAAAATATATTAGAACAAATGATTTTCAAATAGAAATCTTTTGCAGCATTATAAATATCTTTACATTCACTTTTGTCAATTTACTGCATAAAAAAAAAAAAAATACTGATACCAAACTTTTGAATGGTAGTGAATATATAGTGTTTTGAAAACTTAAATATATTCATTAAAACAATTAATTATAAATATACCCATTCAAAACAGCATTTCCATAAATAAATAGTTTTTCCCCCATTCACAATAGAACAAGTATTACAGATGTCTGCTAAATGTTTAAAACCATACAGAAAAAAGTACTTTAACAAACACTTTCCCTCAATATAGAAGGCACAGTTTCACAGAACGGCTCTCCTACAGGTTCCAATAAATAAACCAAGAATGCCGCAGTTACTCAGAGCGAGAGAAAAGTGAAATGAAGTAAAAACGAAACTGTAGTGGGTCATAAGAGGAGTGATGGTAACCATTCTCAAGTCTTTAAACTCAAGCCAAGTACTCATTACCACAAAACAACACACTGGGAGAAAAACATCATTAACAGAGGGAGGGAGACGAGAGCTAGTCAGTCATGAGAGAGACTTCGGCTAACAAATCTGATTTATTTCTCTATCTCTGTTTTCCTCTAACATACACAGAGGCAGAAACACAGAATAGGGGAAGAAAGGGGAAATGAGAGTAAACAGGGAGTGCGGTGGAGAAAGAACGATTCGCTATGGCATTTATTAATATCACTGGCCCTCTGGAGAGACAGAGGAGCACGGTAACGATTAATCTCGGAAATGAAAGGCATTTCTCAGCAGGACAGACCGTGGTGAGTTTGTGTGTGTGAGTTTGGAGACGGTAGTTCTGGGGATGTGCTGGAATCTTTATGAAAACCTAAACAGCCCAGTGAGACATTCAGAGCATTACACACAAACACAGCCGTTGTCCCAGCTTGACTCAGAGAAAGCTGTGGTTTCATCAATGCCACGACCACCAAGTCTCAATGACCAAATTTTGCTCTCTCATAAAAATAGCAATATTACAGTCACTGGCAATAAAAAATAAAGCCCAGGCCAGTGAAATCAAACACTGGCAAAACACTCACAACCTGGAGAGGCAGTTTTCTTTTGAACCCCTCAGCAAAAAAAATTAATAAATAAAAAGGAGAAATTAAAAAGGAGAAATGAAAACAGCAAAAAAAGAGAAATTTAAAGGGAAATTTAACCCAAAAATGAAAACTGTCATCATTTAGTCACCCTCACACTGATCCGAACACTTTTAACATTTTCCCTTTTGCACAAAATGAGATGTTTTAAAGAATATTAATGTAAATTTCGGCTTATCATACAAACTCAAATTCATTTGCATAACACTTTTCAGAATACACATAATCTGCGTTTCCATCCACCTATTTGTATGCGCATTTTGGAATATCGCATAAAAAAAAAACGCTGGATGGAAACGCCAAGATGCTCATAAATTCAAAAAATGCTCATACATAAATTCTAAAAAAACTTATGTGCACATTTGAGTAGGATAAACTTTTTATACGATAAGAAAAAAATTGCATAAACTACGATGGAAACACATTTACTGAATAAATTCCTCCATGCACATCGAAAAAGTCATGTGACTTTGCACTATGAGACGGGATAACTTGACTAGCAGCGGACCGATCTCGTTCACAACATCTATATGCTTTTGAGCAAAGTCTGTCGTCAAAGTATTTTTGTAATTGTCTTACACGACTACATTCCCAAACAGATTTTGTTCTCTTTGACTCGTTGGATGGAAACGGTGCTTTATTCACATATGTTTTATGCGATATTCCAGTTTTGCGCATAAGTTTAATTTGAATCTTTGGATGGAAACATAGTTATTGATATAGTACATATTGTATGACTTCAAAAGACTTAGTCACATGGACCACTTTCACAGCATTTATTTTTTTGTCTTTGTTGAGATTCACAGCCTTGGCTTTTACTGTATGTGAAATGTGAACATTTCAACAAACTTTGTGAACAGGTTATGTAAGGAGGTAAATGTTATGATACATGACATTGTATATGAGCCGTTTTACTGACGTCACAGATTGAGTTGCACATGATACATTGCAATAAACAACAATGTTTCTTTCAACACACCTTCTGATGTTCATTCTTGTTTATTTTATTAAAGAAATAGTAGTAAAAAAAAGGAAGAGATGATCGCTGCTACTTAAACTGAGACAGCTACGATATCTGTAACACCACATTAAAGAGCATCAAAACCACAAATATTGTAGAATTTTTAAATTAGAATTAGAATTTTTGCCAGAATTTGAAAGTTTCTTATAAAATGCTTTTCACATAGAATAGGCAAAAAGACTGATTTTGACATTTAAGAACCCATATCAGTTTATCTAAATGAAGGTTAATTAAAATCAACTAACTAGGGTTGTAACAGTATGAGATTTTCACGGTATGATAATCGTCTCAGAAAATATCACTTAAACAATAATTCTTATCAGTAACAATGACTCTTAAAAGAACAAGAACAAGTTATTTGAGTGAACAAATCCTTTATTACAACAAACTTGAAACATTTTAATGAAATTATTGAAGTCTCCCTTCTGAAAAAATAAATAAATACATTTTAAAAAACAATAAAAAAAATAAAGCTGTACACCTTATGTATATCTATATCACAATTTTTAATTTTTAACATTTTAATTAAAGGGGTCATATGATGCAATTTAAATTTTTCCTTTCTCTTTGGAGTGTTACAAGCTCTTGGTGCATAAAGAAGATCTGTAAAGTTGCAAAGACTTAAGTCTCAAATCCAAAGAGATATTCTTTATAACAGTTAAGAGTCAACCACACATACCTAAAACGGCTCGTTCTAACACGCCCCCACATGTCTACGTCACGATGTGGGAAGATTTGCATAACACCCCCAAATGCTCATGCAAAGAAAGAAGGCGTAACTTTGATTCTCGCTGTAGTATTGTTGATAACACTTTTCAGAATACACATAATCTGCGTTTCCATCCACCTATTTGTATGCGCATTTTGGAATATCGCATAAAAAAAAAACGCTGGATGGAAACGCCAAGATGCTCATAAATTCAAAAAATGCTCATACATAAATTCTAAAAAAACTTATGTGCACATTTGAGTAGGATAAACTTTTTATACGATAAGAAAAAAATTGCATAAACTACGATGGAAACACATTTACTGAATAAATTCCTCCATGCACATCGAAAAAGTCATGTGACTTTGCACTATGAGACGGGATAACTTGACTAGCAGCGGACCGATCTCGTTCACAACATCTATATGCTTTTGAGCAAAGTCTGTCGTCAAAGTATTTTTGTAATTGTCTTACACGACTACATTCCCAAACAGATTTTGTTCTCTTTGACTCGTTGGATG